AAGCACATACCCATATATTTCCATGTTTAAAAAAAAAGAGAGAAAAAGAATAATTTTCCTAATGGATTGGAATTCTTGATCAATTTATCAACACTGATTTCTCTAAGTGCTGTGCAAAATTTGTTACGTTGACCATTCTAGAGATTTTTAGGCTTTTATCCAGAGAACAGGCAGAGAGAGCAAGGACAGTAAGAGGAAAAACTGCTCCGCTCTTTCTAACTGGACATTTTTTGAGGGTGAAGGGTAGTTGTCAATACCATTTAATCCCTTACCTCTCTTCAAAGATCATGGACATGGTCGCCGACTGTGTTGGCGGCTAGTCTGTTACATGGACACCTGCTCACTAGAAAATGTACTAGAACCAACTTATTCCAGGTAAGTAATGAAACAACTAGAAAGCTTTCTGCCATGACTGACGTGCACTAGATTTTACCTGGTAACCTAGAGAGGAAAGGCTTCACATCCCATTACCAACACTCTGAGCTTGAATTCTACAACTTTTTCAAGTGGTCTCATAAAAAGAGACCAAATGCTTAAGCATGTCATAGTTGCCTCTTGGGCTGCTAAACTTGCAAACTCAATACAATTGTGTATGATCACTTAAGAATATTATAGCAATAATTGTTAACATTGTAAGATAGATTTAATTTATTACATTTTCAAACAATAGCATCTTTACTTGTACTCAAATTGGCAATGCTGCTCAAACCAGGGATAAAAATCATAGTGAGAAGCTTTAGATAAGTAACTAAGGCCACATCCTGCAAGCTATGTCATATGGGCAGTCCCTGACCTGCACAGAGCCCCAGTGCAGTCAATAGGGTTTGGGCACAGAGGGCTACCTGTAGGTATCAACTTGCAAGACTGGTACCTACCACAACACTAAAGGGCTAAAGTTCAACATATGGTTGAAATGTACAATGTTTTAACATGAAAGGCTCAGCATTTGCTAAAAGATGCCAGCCTCTTCCTGCTAATTAGAGAGGAAAAGTGTGGAATCTCATATTTTACTATGTATCAACTGCTGGCAAATAATTTTCTTAGAAACGGAGATCTATGTAGGCAAGTTTGAAAATACTTTGATCAGTGGCCACACAATGATAAGCCCAAATATGATACCCATAGACATTTTGAATTTCATTTTGCTGCTTGCTAACTATGCAGAAGAAATGTATTTAAAAACTTCTTCTTGGAACAGCATTTACATACTATGGTGTTGGGTGTCATATCAGATTTAGAGAGTGGTTGGAGAAAGTTATCTGTTTTCCTTAACTTCGGGGAAGCTACAGACAGTTGACACTCCTTGATTATCTGTAAGCCTGCACAGGTGAGTCAGGTTGATTCTCATCATAGTTCCGCTGTAGTACTCAAACTAATTTTTATAGTTATTTTTCTGCAGCAAGCCCCTTCCTCTCTGGAATCCCACAAAGCTCAGTTTTCTCAGTTCTTTCACTTGAATAATTTTTATCTTGGTCATCTCATCTTCTGTCTTAGTTGCGATTTAAACCAATGATTTTTAACTTCATGTGTTGTTGACATTTAATTACTCCTCCTTCTGTCCCCTCTCTCTGCCTGTAATGATCAAATACAACTATAGTTCCATTTTTTTCCTAGAAAACTATTTCTGACTTTGCAATATTTAGCTTCAGGTAGCAGAGGTGGAACACAGTAAAGAGCAGAAGTGGATTAAGATTTATTGAGACTCTGGTCACAAAGAACATTTAGACCTTCCCACATACCCCCTCACTACAGGGTCCTGCTCCCTTCTCCTCCTCTTCTCCATGAGGCCCTGCCCCCTAGCCAGGCCTGAAGCCTGGTGATGGTAAAAGTTGTCGCTCAGGGAACCCGGGCAACTGGAGAGAGCCCGACATAAGAACGGCCATACTGGGTCAGTCCAAAGGTCCATTTAGTCCAGTATCCTGTCTGCCGACAGTGGCCAATGCCAGATGCCCCAGAGGGTGTGAACAGAATAGGGAATCATCACAGGATCCCTCCCCTTCCATCCATTTCTAGTTTCTGACAAACAGAGGCTAGGGACACCAAGCCAGAAAGAAGATGAGGGGGACATAGGCCGAGCATCCTGGGCTGCTTCGGCTTCTAGTCTGGCTGCGGGATGGGGCCTCGAGGGGAAGAGGAGGAGCAGGGGATGGGGCCACAATGGTAGTGCACCCCCACACTTCTACACAGTTCTGGCACTCCTGGAGCCCACAGAAAAAATTCACATGTGGCAGGAGAGGAGCACTGACTGGAGATATTGCTAGTTACACGGACTGCTTCTTTGAATTGGACACAAGGTTGCAGCCATTGAACCTCACTGTGCATGGAAACATTCTGTCAGGGGTGTGATTAGAGCTAGACACCTTTCTGCAAATTAGCTTCCTCTATCCATGCTTTTCCCTGGCAGCTGGATGGTATTGGCTAAGGAGATGTGCGCTCTCTCCCCCTATCCTCCCACTGACATGGCGGCGTGTCTGCATGATGTCCCCTTAATGGTGGGCAAGGAAGCCCTATGTGCAACCTCCCTATACCCACGTGGCCTTGAGTCTCAGAGCCCAGGACAACTGATGGGACTCACAGGACTTAGGCTGTGGTGCTGAAAACAGTAATGTCAATGTAGGGCTCAGAGGCAGGGTGGTCGAAGTGCCTAAGGTTTATCATTAGGACACAGAATGAGCTGGCAGTATGAAGTTGAATTGCACTCTGCAATTCTGGGCTTCAGTTGCATGGGAAAAGGCTCTGGCCTTCAGTTGAGGGGAGGGGGAAGGAGGGAAAGACCCAGGCTCGTGGCTTCAACCAGTAGGTGCTGGAAGCAGGGAGGGAAGGGGGCCATGGCCTTAAAAGCGAGTGATGGGTGGGGGTAGGGAAGAATGGAGATGGGATCTTGGAGAAAGAGGCAGCATGAGGATGTGGTCTTGGGGATGAGGCAGAACAGACGAGATGGGACCATGGCTTGGGTGCTGATGGCCTCCTTATGTCAAGGGAGCTTCTGTGCTCCTGCAGCCCTGTGGCTTCTGCTGGGGTCCGAGGCACCCATTTTTCTGAGGGACCACAAATTGGCTGCAGCCTTTGTGTTAATCTGCTATTGGTCAACGGTTTCATCTACTTAGTCATTCACTTCTGAACTTAAGAATTTACTCTCTCTCTCTATCATATCCATTATCCTTGATTCTGAACTTCACTTTCCATCATTGTGTCTATATACATATGAATCACCAACATAATATTGCCTGGATTTGCTATTGCATTAACTCTACCTTGGCTAAAATTCTCATCAGTACTTTCACCTCTCTTGCTATCAATTAAGTTTCCATGGGCTTCCCAAATCCCAGCTTTCCCTGTCACCAGCATGGAAGATGGATATGTAAAACTACAACCACATGATTCATCCTCAGTTCAGGACTCCTGTGAAAACTTCATTTTAATTATTTTTGAACAGTACTCTGAACTTGTTCTATCCAACAACATAATTCTTCTCTCTCTCTCTCCTCCCCCCCCCCCCCCCCCCCCCCCCCATCCCCCCCCCCCCCCCCCATCCTCTTTCTCTGGCACCTTCCTCCTCCTCTGCAGCTTTTAAGCTGAACCACTCTCCAACTCATCACATACTTTGAAAAACTCATTGGCAAAATTCCCTTTTCTTGCTTATCTACACATTACAACGCCCCCATCTCATGCCACTCTCTACTCCCAAACTCACTCACACACTCTCTCACCTTTATTATATTTAAAGCTTTTCTGCATAAGATTTCTATAAAATTACATCCTGGTGGGTTCCTGCTAGTCTGGCTGCACTGCTCTTTTCTTGTGAGCACACTCAGTATTGAAATAAGCGATCATTCTTGTACATTTCATGTGTAAATGGAGACTATAATTCATATGAATAAAGCAGACAAAGGGCTGTCCATAACTTGTGCAATAGTGGGGGTCAGAGGGTCCTTAAATATTATCAAAACACATTATATATAATCTCTTAAGGGAGTCTCTCTACCAGTACAGTTAAAGCATTACAATCTTTGGACAACCTCCAGGTAGAAGAAAAGGGATAATGCAAGAAGCACACAAATCAGAACACACCCTGATTAAATTTAATCTTTGCTTTATCAGTTTCAGTATTCCCCTGTGGGAGACAGCGATGCTTCACAAACTGAAGACTTGGGAGTGAATATTCCATCTTCATGGAAGTTAATCATTAAAATATATAGACTATTACAGAAAAAAAGCAGGTAGCAGGTAATTCATATTAGATGTGTATCATCACACTTGAAGGCAGATTAAAACTCAAAAGCCAAATCTGTGTTCCTTCTTTCCTATAGAAATACATATTTCCAAGTTACTTATTTACTTACACTCACACATGCACACACACACACGCACACACACATGCATGCACAGAACAATCTTTCAAAAGGAACAAATTAAAGCTTAATATTTAACTGTGGAAATAAACACTATGATGTGTTTGTGTTGCTTTTATAAAAATAGGACCCCCCAAAAAGGAAATTAAATGTGAAATAGCATTTTCATGAATCAGAGATTATTAAAACTATTTTAAGTCAATTAAAGCTTCACTAACAACTGGGTGTAAATCTGGTTTTAAGGGGGGGTTGTGTTTTTTTTTGCACATGCATAATACGTGCCTGAAGACAAACACGCAGACACAGAAATGTAAGTACACTTTTTACAGAAAGACCTACATGAGACACTGTAGCTGTAAAATGCCTTGTTGATAGAAATGTTAGGACAAAATTATCATTCCCTAGTTGCAAGACTCTTGCATTTATAACACAGGTTAAAGAAGTCAACCACTGGCATGCTGGATTAGAAAGACAGATATTAGTCTGTGAACACGTTCTATAGAACATGGGCAATTATAACAACTTGACGGAAATATGGTTAGTGTAGCACAGGCCCATCCCAAGAATCAGAAAAAAAAATCTGTTAAAAACAGCAGAGTCAGTGGCGAGAGAGAGAAAGACTGCTACAGGCTTGAGAGGTCCACTTACTGACGCTGCCACAGACTGCCATGCAGTATTCCTCAGAGTCAAAGTTGTTTCGGTTCCCACCACATCCGCCGTAAAAGAATGGTGCACACTTTCCTTCAGTCACATCAAAGTACCATCGGGAGATCATTGCTCGGCAAGGACCAGTCTCAGCTTGTTCAGAGCACACCTCTAATTATAGGAGATGTGGAGGAACTACATTTAGCATGAAAATGGTATTGTCTTGCTTGTCATCTACACACGTTTATTTACATGTTCTAACTCTTGCACATTATTAGCTACAAAATGGGAGCATCAAGGAAGCATCTATACCTTTCACAGAACAATTCCTACCCTTGAAGTCTGTCTCTATTGTCTTCAAAACAACGTATTCTCATCTGGATTAACACAATTAAATCCCTCCTGCTCTATATACAATTTTTGTACTTTATCTATTTTAATTAGTAACATGTTTATTTACTGAAACAATTATATTGGCGTAACCCCTAGTGTAGACACAGTTATACACAGGGCTCGACAAACTGCAGAGAGATATTCGCCAGCCCCGCACCGCGCATGTGCCAGACCAACACTGCGCACGCATGCAGCACCGGCGAATGGGGCACATGGAACGACCGGCTGAAATCTACTCGCCATAGGCGAGTAGAAACAGTGGTTTGTCGAGACCTGGTTATACGGATAAAGATGTTCCCCATCTCTTATGGGAGTCACTATACCAGTATCCACACAAAGTGTGTGGTATTGTTAGAACTATAAGGGTACAGTTAAAGCAATACAATCTGTGTGTGTGTGTGTGCACGCGCGCATGCATGTGTGCATGCGTGTGCACATTCCCTTTGCCCAAGAGAAAGTTTGAGTAATTGTCTTTGGAGAAACCCTGGTAAAAAGAAAACACCTACACATCAACCTATTAAAAAATATCTAATACACTGAGATATCTTGGCTTGTAAAAAGGCTGTATATATGCATCAGAAAATCTTGCGGAACTGAGTGGTACAAATTAAAATTAGAAAATAAAAAGTGAATGCAGGAACTCCTTTGTTAAACTGGAATTCAGCCTATCACCTGGGTACATATATAGCCCTTTACCAATAATGTTCCAAACAGGAAAAACAGCGTTCACATTCAGCATGCTGTATATCATTTGCAAAATTGTTGATCATGAAACTAGTACCTCCTCCTCTATGCTTCCATCGCACATGGGTTCAACATAATGGCAGACAACTGATTTCTACTGTTTCTGACTTTACTTTACAAGTCTTAATTTTGTGGAAGGCTGACTCCTAACTATTGAAATAGGGGTCTCTCCCTTGGACACCTCAACACCTGCTAGTGGATGCTAATAACATTGGCAATCTCCCCACACTCATTAACTCCTAGAGGCTCTCATTGGCATTGGCCCAGACCTGGAGATTCTCATTAGATGCTTCACAGCTTCTTTTCTTCCAGGCTGTTTGATTCATCTCTGTTGAGCACATAACCCTTCCCATCTCCTTTCTACATAATACATGTTATACCAAATTGCTTATAAGTAATCAACACACATGTATATTTTAGGGACGTTAAAATTAGATTAATTGGCTAATCGAGTAGTCAATGCAATTTGCAGCTGGGGGGGTGGAGGGGGAGAGAGGCGGAAGAAGAGGAGGACTATCTGATAGTGTCAACTAGTGGGTTGACTATTTGATAAGTGTCTTATTTATATCAATAATAATTTACTGGAAAGCACTTATGATTGATCCAACACAATGCTTTAAATAGATGCATCAAAAGTGTATTATGCAGTTACAGAGTTTAGTTTGCAATGCATCATTCTTCAAGACTTTCTCTATGCCTTTTAGTATAAGTGTGATTTAACAAGTAAATTCCCAAGCAGTTTGCTATTGGGTGTTTCTAGAAAAAAAAGTTTAGTTTAGCTAATCCTTATGGCTTGTTATTAATCAGGTTTAGAATCTATCACTCAAGTATACAATACAAAAAAGCTGCCATAAGAGAAATCTGGAGTTGCCACTGTGTGGCATTTTCTTATTTTATGTTATAAAATACATGTCTCATAATGGTGATGCCATAAGCTTCTTCCCTATTTTACTTCAGCATAATTCAGTTTTCCCAAAGGACCACCATTTCCATACTGTACTTGTTTTCAATGTGCTTACTCCGAAATTAAGTGCACACTAAGCACAGTTTTAGCTTTTTTGGGTAACTTGGAAACATAGCTGCATCAAAATGACAGTGGGAGTGGGGATATGAGAGCTAGCTCTAGAAGCTTTAAGGACACCATAAATGTAGTGCTCTGACAACTTGTCTGTTAGGGTACGTCTAGACTACAGGCTTTTGTCGACAGAAGTTTTGTCGACAGATACTGTCAACAAAGCTTCTGTCGACAAAGAGCGTCTAGACTACATTCAGTTGTCGACAAAGCAAGCTGCCTTTGTTGACACAACCCTAGATGCAATAACACCTTCTGTCGACAGAACTCTGTCGACAAAAGGAGTTATGCCTCGTAAAATGAGGTTTACCAGCGTCAACAAAACTGCTGAGTTCTGTTGACGTTATGTCGACAGAACTCAGCGGTAGTGTAGACGTAGGTATAGTTTTGTCGACAAAAGTCCACTTTTGTCGACAAAACTCTGTAGTCTAGACACACCCTTAGAGTTACTAAAATTTTTAAAAAAGTTTAAGAACAGCCACAGCAAGAGACTGCTGTAATTGCAAATGTGAAACATTTATGTAACATTTAAGATTTAGTTTAATAAAATATAAGTGCTATTGTTTGTGTGTGTGTGTGTGCGCGCGCGTGCGTGCGTATGTGATTTAGTTCTTACTATTCCTGACATACTACTGCTGTTTCTGCAGCTTGCTTCAGGTAATGAGTATGAAGTACTATTTCCTAAATTAATAAAAATCAAGTTATCTAAACAAATTACACACAGCATATACCCTCTTAGAATATGTAAAATGCTGCACTTAGTTATAAATTAACATGATTTAGTGATCAGATTTGCACAATTATTTGAAAAAATATGTGAAGAAGTATCAGTGGGAAACGGGGTTTTTTTTCGGTGATTAGAATCGTGATTTAAATCAATCCACCTTGCCTGCTTCATTTTAACATAATATAGGAATAACCTACGCACAAAGTAACTTTGACTGGTTTTGAATACAAGAGCCCCACAAATTTCATTTTAAAAATTGATCACTTAGTATAGTGATTGATATTGAAGAGACAGGTATAATCAAAATCAGCTTTGCTGAAAGAATACATAATTTCAAAATCATAGAGCTTCAGAAATTAACTATTTTTAGAAGAACAACTACTAATGTGACAAACTTAATCTATAAAGAAAGTAAATGCCTTCTAGGATCTTCTTGATACCTCTATATTTTGTTATAAAGTGTAAGTTACTTTATCATTTTATATTTCACACACTCTTATCAGTAGGTGAAGGTTCCAAAGACTCATTCTGGTATTTTCTTTTGAATCTCTCACTTACTCTCAATATCTCAAATGTAAGGGAGTAATAAAAGCAACTACTTTTAGCACCTGTATATTTTTGCTATCCACATAATGGTAAAAAAAATAAAATAAAACACAACCCTTCAGTGAAATAATGGAAATGATTACCTGAAATCAATTCTTGGGGCACTACAGATATTTACACACATTAAGCATTCATGCCATCAAGTTTAAGAGTTAATGTTTTGGGAGCCTTTCAGTCAGAACTACTAAAAACTGTTTGCATTAAAATGGAAAATATAGTCCTTTAAAGAGTGATTACTTAATCATGAAATTAAGTCAGACTCCCTTCTTGAACTTATTGCATGGCTAGAGCAATGCTCTCTTTGTGTCTTCCAATAGGGAAGACAGTGCTACCACAGGGTAAAATCCTCTTTTCAGATCTACATGGGAGGACTTAAGACCAGAAAGTATTTCACTGACAGAAACTGCCATATCAGCATACAAATCTACTGTGTAGGGATGAGAGGAGAATGGAACACTTAGAGATTAATAACAACATATGATACAAATATGGGGCTAGACCATCACTTTAAGACTGGCCCTGACTCAAGGAGCAGATTCTAATTCAGAGTCAATATCCCTCCTAGTCTCCCCTCTCTTTGCCCCTGCCATCTTGGAAGAAGAGTAGCTTTCTCTCCCTTACTGAAGCCTAGGGAACACATAGTCCATTTAGAAGAGTAAGGTGGTGCCTTTTAACTTACTCTCTTGCATGGGTGGAAGTGAAGATTTAGCTCATCACCTATGAGCTATGGCACATTTCAGCGATGGGCAACCTAGGCTAATGAGTGGGCTGCATGACTAACCCTCCTTCACCTCATTGGGCTGCAAGACTGCCATCCAAGACAGTCTCCCAGAATAAGGTAGTTTTGCTAACTGGGCTTGCAAACCTAGAATTTGCAAGGTGAGTTGATTGGCCCGTAGCAGTGCTTTCACTGGATGCAGAGGGAGCTCTCACAGTCAATGTGTGCAATCAACACTCACCTCACTTCATAGGCCCTTGCTTTACATGTGGATGGAAACCAGCAGAATCTGGCAATTCTGCATGTGGGTAGTGATAAACAAAATGTTTCATGGGCCACATACACAACCCGGACAGGTCACATGATGCCCATGGGTTTCCCAACACTATTACAGGGGTTTCCCAACACTGTTGCCGGTATAGTTAGCAGCAGAGTATAAATTGCACAATCATGCCTTTTAGAATTAAAAACAGTCTTTGCACTTAATTCTCGCCCCCGCCCCAAATACAAGGCTCACTAGTAAGGCCACACTGGGAACAAATTATCTGTAATAACAAGAAACATTAAATTACAATATGGCAGAATGATAACTTTCATCTTTTCATCTTGTTTCTAAGAGCTGATTAACAACAGAAGCAATTCTTTGCCTTTGGCTACAAGAAAGCAAAGCAAATTAAAGAGGGAGGGCTTTTGTATAGTGCTTTTTATAGCTGAGGCTTCTGAACAGTTCAAGTTCTAACCTGCTGTTTTCCATGCCCTGAATTTCTGAAACAATCCACCTTTGGTATTGATATTTCCCACATGTAATGTTTGCCCAGAAATGAGGGCTTCTTGTTACTAGACCCTTCAGAAAGTTTGAGCTAAATATTTTCAAACGATTCATCTTTCCTTTGTGACAAAATTGCCATACT